GGGACCACAGGGCAGCAATGTGCTAGAAGCCAGGGCAGAGCCCCACAGTCAGAGGAACGCCCAGGTTGGTGCAGGTAGTCTGCATCCAGGGTACTTCCATGTGCTGTAATCAAGCATCTCTGGCACCCAGTTAAAAGCTAGGGAAGTGGTTCTCCACCCTGGCTGCACATGGAAATCTCCTGGTGAGCTTTAAAAAAATATCAGTGCCTGAGTTTCACCCCAAGGGATTCTAATTTACATGGCCTGGAGTGGGGCCTGGGCCTGAGTTTTCAAAGCTTGCCAAGTGACTGCAGTGTGCAGCCAGGGATGAGGACCTCTGAGCAAGGGGGACCGCGGGAAGGCCATGCTATTGCCTTCTATTCCAAGCCGGTCCAGTCCAGTTCATTCCATTCGAATCCATTCCATTACAGTCCAGTTCACTCACATTTTCTTTAGTAACTGTTATGTGGCAGACATTAGAAAAATAAGAAGGCATAATTCCGATCCTGCCTCAAAGGAACAAACTAGTTTTTAGGTTGTGACAGATGCCCCGTAACATAGGAGGTAGTGGGCTGGGACATAGAATGCCAGGGAAGGGGGATTTTTTTTTTTTTACCGGGGAGAGGGGAGGGAGAAGGAAGGTCAGGGAAAGATCAAGAGGGCTGACAAGTTTTTATCCGGGGCTGAGATTGTGTGTGTGTGTGTGTGGCACGGGGGGGGGGGGGGGGGGGGGGGGGGGGGGGGGGGGGGGGAGGTGGTGACAAGCGGCACTTTTCAACAGAACGTTTTATCACTGTGATGACCCGGTGAATATTAGCGAGGCTTCAGGGTGCCTAGTGACAGCACTCGGAGGGGGCAGGGGCAAGTTCCTTCCTTGTGGTGGCTCCTGAGGGGGAGGCCTGTGCCCTGCCCCCTCCCCCCAGGTGCTAGACTTGGCCACAGGCCAGCTTGAAAGTCAGTTCCCAAGAGGACAAGTGGCTGCCAGGTAGAGTATAGGCCATTAGTCCATGTGTCTGTCTCTCACCAGCATTGCCATTCTCTTTCCTGAATGGATGGAAACCAGCATGTGGGTTCCTCCAAAAAAGACCTTCTAAAGCAAAACCTCCCCCAAGGGGCTGGATCATGCTTGTGTGTGTGCATTTATGTACCTGTAGGCTTTCTCACCAAGGTGAGATTCTCCCTATATTGTGTCACATTAGAACTACTGGCTAACTGGCCTTTACCCTGTGGCTTGCATGCTAGGCTGAGTGAATGATAACTGGCTTTGAAAGTTCTAGACTCAAGGGGGCCTTTAACCTCCCAGAGCCGGAGCATTTCAGGAAGACACCAGCCCCTGTCAGGGTTGAGTGTGTCCCCCAGGGAGCACAGCGCTCCTACAGCGTGGGGCCCATCCCATGCACTGTGCTGTATCTGCCAGCTTTATTTCAACCACAGACATTTCCACTGAAACGGTCATCAAGGACTTCTGCACTGAGGATTTTTTTTTTGAGTTTACTAATTAGATTTTATTTATTTATTTATTTTAACATCTTTATTGGGGTATAATTGCTTTACAATGGTTTGTTAGTTTCTGCTTTATAACAAAGTGAATCAGCTATACATATACATATATCCCCATATCCCCTCCCTTGTGTCTCCCTCCCACCCTCCCTATCCCACCCCTCCAGGTGGACACAAAGCACCAAGCTGATCTCCCTGTGCTATGCAGCTGCTTCCCACTGCTATCTATTTTACATTTGGTAGTGTATATATGTCAGTGTTACTCTGTCACTTCGTCCCAGCTTACCCTTACCCCTCCCCATGTCCGCAAGTCCATTCTCTACGTCTGTCTTTTTTTAATTAATTAATTTATTTATGTATTTATTTATTTTTGGCTGTGTTGGGTTTTCGTTGCTGTGCGTGGGCTTTCTCTAGTTGTGGCAAGCGGGGGCTACTCTTTGTTGTGATGCACTGGCTTATTGTGGGGGCTTCTCGTTGTGGAGCATGGGTTCTAGGTGCATGGGCTTCAGTAGTTGTGGCTCATGGGCTCTAGAGCACAGGCTCAGTAGTTGTGGTGCATGGGCTTAGTTGCTCCGCAGCATGTGGGATCTTCCCGGACCAGGGCTTGAACCCATGTCCCCTGCATTGGCAGGCAGATTCTTAACCACTGCACCACCAGGGAAGCCCCTAGGTCTGTGTCTTTATTCCTGTCCTGCCCCATTTTTTTTTTTTTTTGCGGTATGCGGGCCTCTCACTGTTGTGGCCTCTCCGGTTGCGGAGCATAGACTCCGGATGCGCAGGCTCAGCGGCCATGGCTTACGGGCCTAGCTGCTCCGCGGTATGTGGGATCTTCCCAGACCGGGGCACGAGCCCATGTCCCGTGCATTGGCAGGCAGACTCTCAACCACTGTGCCACCAGGGAAGCCCCAGAACCATTTTTTTTTAAGGTTGCATATATATGTGTTAGCATATGGTATTTGTTTTTCTCTTTCTGACTTACTTCACTCTGTATGACAGACTCTAAGTCCATCCACCTCAATACAAATCACTCAATTTCGTTTGTTTTTATGGCTGAGTAATATTCCATTGTATATATGTGCCACATTTTCTTTATCCATTCATCTGTCGTTGGACACTTAGGTTGCTTCCATGTCCTGGCTATTGTAAATAGAGCTGCAGTGAACATTGTGGTACATGACTCTTTTTGAATTATGGTTTTCTCAGGGTATATGCCTAGTAATGGGATTGCTGGGTCATATGGTATCTCTATTTTTAGTTTTTTAAGGACCCTCCATACTGTTCTCCATAGTGGCTGTATCAACTTACATTCCCACCAACAGTGCAGGAGGGTTCCACTGAGGCTTTCTATACACACAGCTCTGGTGGATCTGCACAGCCTCCCACAGCCACTCTCTGCCTCCGCTTCTTCAATCTCCCCAAAGTATCATAGTGAACAAACTCAAGTTTTAACTTCAAAGGAGAGGAGAGAAAGCCATGCTTCCCGGCAGGTCATGCAGTGCCACTTTAAGACAGTTTTATTTGGGCAGTAAAATCTCTGGGTTGTTCTTGGCAGCAGTTGTAATGAAATGGAAACTTTGAAATCTTCTTACAGCAGTAAGTACCGTCTCAACCCCTGTTTTGGGGACTAAATGTTGTAGGCGGTCTTATTAGTGGATCTGATTTATTTTCAGAGGACTGGTATTGATGCATCCTTTCAGAAGGTAGAGGAGTATATATCATTTGGTTTGAGTGAGCTCTGTACCTGAGACCTGAGGAATTGCTGAGCTGTGGTGGAGAGCAGTGCTTCTCAAAGCCTGGTCCTCGGGCACGCATCATCAGTATCACCTGGGGACTTGTTAGAAATGAACGTTCTTGGTGAGCATCGATGACCTCCAGGTGATTTTGATGCACACTGGAGTTTGAGAACTACCACTTTTAGAAAGTAGTGTCAGGACTTCCCTGGTGGTCCAGTGGCTAAGACTCCTCGTTCCCAATGCAGGGCACCCAGGTTCGATCCCTGGTCAGGGAACTAGATCCCACATGCTGTGACTAAGAGTTCACATGCCACAACTAAGACCCGGCACAGACAACTAAATAAATTTTTTTTTTTTTTTTAAGAAACGAAAACAGTGTCATGGCTTTTAGAAAACAGTATTGGGGAGAGAGAGAACAAAGGATGTTCGTGACAGCCTAAGACAGATTGGCCCAGTCTCCTGAATCTGTGCTAGTAAAGGTGGTCCCGACCATGAACGCAGAGCAGGGGCTGTGGACTGCAGGGCCCAGTGTGCAAACATAGATAATTCTCAGCCCTGGCCGAGTCAGGATACTTGTGAGCGGTTTACCTTGTTTTGTTGATGTCTCAGAAGAGAAGCTAGCAGCAGGTATCCTGGGGAAGGAGGGCAAATTGTTTAAATGCTGTTAGCATTGGTTCCAAATGAAAGGAAAAGTTCTCTGCATTGTGTATATATTTTTAAGAATTAATATTCACTCTATTAAAGCGACAAATTAAAAATCCCAGTCCTTAAGTTTTTCGTTCAATTTACAAGTCATGTTCTATTTACAATCTAGCAAGTTTTTGCAATACCTTTTAAGGGGCCTTTGGATAACATTTAATCCTATTTACAAATTGGTGATTTAACAACGTTTAAACCTTTAAAACTGTGTGTAGAAATTTACCATATTCAATTTCATTTTCAAGTTCTTTTGTTGTCTGATTAAAAAATAAACGCTTTGCAAGTACTTAAATGATTCTTATAAATAATTAACTAGTTTTATAAACATGCGAAGTCTTAAGTTCTCTTATACATTCTGATACTGTTTATAAGCTTAATACGATTTTTAAATTACAGGTCTAAATCATTGCTGTGCTTTAAATTAGAATCACAAATTGAATCCGTTAGATACTCTGCCAGGTTTTCTTAAACACTGAAAAAAATCTACAAATCCACTATCACAAAACTATTAACACTACAGGTCTGACTCCATCCTCTCTATTTAATTCTAAATATTGCCCAGGAATAAGATATATATTTTTCCCATTAAGGATATAATTGTCATTCATTCCCAACACTTTTGGAGGTACCTCCTTAGGTGGACTTTTAGGGGATGATATAAAAAATAGTTTTTTAAATGGCTTTAATTAGAAGTAAGTGTATAGGAGCAGGCAAACAAGGGAATCTGTTCTCCCTCCCCGCTGCTGCAGCAGAGGCCCCAATAAAGCCTTGCCTGAAAAATAATATTAAAAAAAAATTAACACTAAAGTAAGATATCTTTGAAAGTGAACCCAGAAAATGGGTGCTGTTGCCACATCCGCCCCCACCCCCTGCCTTCTGTCACCTGACCCCCAACACAACTGCTGGGTGAGATGTTTCAAGTCATGCAAGAGCTCATTCTTGGACTCCGTAAATTGGTGCAACCTGCAAAGAAAAAGCCCAGGCAGGGGAAGCAGGCCAGAGCTAGGTGGCCTTTCCACCCTCTGGCTCTGGGGTCGTGGGCAAGTGTGAATGAGGATAACTGACAACTGCTTTCCTCTTTCTGGGCAGGTTGGCCTCATCCAGCTTGGGCAGGAGCAGGTGCTAATCCAGCCCCTCAACAATTCCCAGGGACAAGAGCATCTGATCAGGCGCAGATGGTCCTTGACACCCAGCCCCTCTGCCGAGACCCAGATATCTGGGCAGCTCTGCAAGGTCCTAACAGGTGAGTCTGGGAAATATTGTGAATGACTCACAACACAGGCCCTTTTGGCTTTTGGTGCCATTGCACATCCCTAGACCATCCCCATTGCTGTGTCTCCAAGTGTGCTGAAATCTTGTGAGCAAGAACTTACCTTTCCCTGTATTTTGAAAGCTTTTTTTTATTGCCCATAAGGCCACTTTCTTTTCATTTGTGTGTGTATTAATATCAGCGTTTCATGTGTAGCAGCCCTTTGAAAAAGGTGTTTCTAGAAAGAACCCAGGATCTCTTTTGTGTAGTGTCTCAATTTTATAGATCTGGAGCAAGTTGAGGCCTGAAAAACCTCAATGGCTTATTATTATCAAGCCTGAGGTTGGTGGCAGAGCTAGGATGAGAATTCTTTCCCTTGGCACCCTGGCCAGAGCTTGCTTTCCTTATACAGTGGTCCTCGGTCTTGTCTGCACTAATTAGAGTCACCTGGGGGACCTATGAAGCAGTGGTTCTTAAGAGTGTGACCCCAGCAGCATCAGCATCACCTGGGACTCTGTTAGAACTGCATGTTCTCTCCCACCCCCCACCTCCTGAATCAGAAACCATGGGGGTGGGTCCAGGTAAATCTGATCATGCTTAAGTGTGAGAGCCACTGCTTTAAAAAATGCCATGCACTAGCCAGTCCCTCCAAATCCTGATCTAATTGGTCCATGGTGTGACTTGGGTGTGTTTTTGAAGGTGGTTCTAATAAGCAGCTTGGGCTGAGAACCCAGGGTTCTTGTATTCTGTGCCTCTGTGTGGGCAACCTCTGGTTTATCTGTTAAGTGTTTAAGGACATTTCACCATGCTGGGTCACTAGCAGTCTGCCTGTGAGTGTCCCTTGATGAAGATGATATCCTACTGCTCACAGGTGTCACTTCCTCCCTGGAGAGCATGGGACCCCATGGCTGACCTTTGGGAGTTGTTCTTTTGTAGTTTAAAGACTTTGAATAAAAATACAGTGTCTCAGTTTAGTATTCCAATGACCTTGGAAGTAAATCGATTATATGACTGTATTTTAGAACAGCTTTGTTATGTATAAGCGAGCCCTGCAGCTTAGCTCCGCTGGTGCATGCAGTCCTGACCTTATCCACATAGCCCCCCTCCTTAGCCTAGTCTACATTCAGCAGGGAGGTATTAGAGGTGATTTTGCTGGATCAGGGGTCATCTCTACAACTCCAGGAGAAAGAATGCCACCATACATTAGGGTTTTGCTGTGTTCCTTCCTGCACCCTTACAAAAACAGGAAAGAGGTCTCAGCAAAAAATTACTTGTAACTAAAATTTTTTTTGGAGGTACGCAGGCCTCTCACTGTTGTGGCCTCTCCCGCTGCGGAGCACAGGCTCCGGACGCGCAGGCTCAGCGGCCATGGCTCACGGGCCCAGCCGCTCTGCAGCATGTGGGATCCTCCCGGACCAGGGCACAAACCCGCATCCCCTGCATCGGCAGATGGACTCTCAACCACTGCGCCACCAGGGAAGCCCCGGTATTGTAACTAAAATTTACCCCTTAATAGGAAGCAGGGGTTTTGGTAAGTCCGATGGTTGGTTGTGTGTTTGGGCTTGATGTTGGTGTGTTATTTTAAACGTTAGCCAGCTGCCTCTATCTGGGTCAATCGGTGGATTTTTTTCTCTCTCTCCTCTCAGAGTAAATGACTAGTGGTCATTTTAAATCTTTGTGCATTTTCTGCAGCTGATCTGACCATATTGTTTCAGAGGCAGGGGGATAACTCTAAGGCAGAGGTTCTCAGCCCTGGCTGTCCATTGGCATCACCTGGGGAACTTTAACAACTAGTCACACCCAGCTCCTGCCCCCAGAGAGCTGCTTTTATTGGTCTGGGGTGCAGCCTGGGCATCTAGTGATTTGAAACCTCTCCAGGTTGTTCTAACGTTCAGCTGGTGCTGGGAACTGCTGCGCTAAGTTTCAGACATGATTAATAGCACCTTTGGGCCATTGGAAGTGGGTTTTCTCAGGTGAGAATCACCAAGCAGGGCCACACAGTGAAACCCAAGGACAAATATATTTTATTCTTACTTTCCCTTTGCTCCAGCCAGTGCTTGTCAGCTGCTAGTCAGTGACCAGAAACCCCGGGTGCCTGTGGATGATATCATGGAATATTTGTCTGATTACCAGCTGCCATCCTCTTTAGGGGTGTGATACCAAGGATTGCTGACAAAATGATAAATTGTTTGTGTTTGCATTTTTGTCCCTAAGGCTAGTTTGGAGGCACTCTTCTGAGAGACTCTTTTGCCTTTAGTGAAGGAAATAAAATGAACAAAACCAGGGGGTTTATTCCCAGCCCCCAAATCTCACATCAACATGCTCTGCCATGCAGGAGCAACATGTATATTTAAGGTGGTGCCAACTCAGGCTCTGTTCTGGGTAGGAACACAGACATAGGAGAAAGGTATAGACTTTGCTTCTGGTCCTTCTTTGTTTGTGTGAAATAGTCAGTAAACTTTGTTGCTGTGTTGGGAAAGACAGCAGCCCTTCTAAGAGGCTTAGCTAATAAGCAGTCAATTAGGCCCTATCTAGTTTGGATTAACTTTCAAACATTGGGGGTTTAGAAACTGGGAAAATTAATTTACTGGGACTCCAGCAAAATACATTCTTGAAGTTTCCTGGAAAGATTAATCAGATTAATCCACGATTTCCCATGGGAACATGTTCTTTATGGATGAGCATGGCAGCCATAGGTGTAATTGTGCCTTGTCATTGATCTGTGTTATTCCATCTTTGGACATGGTCTTGGGGTAGCCAGCTGGCTCACGCAGGTGAGGAGCAGTCTGATAACTCTTTCTCCTCCATGAAGCACTCAATTTACCTGCGAGTTGAGTCTGGGTAAGCTGCCATGTTGTCTAGGGGGATAGAGGGACTGACACAGGAAAGGCCACCTGGGAGGAATCATTGCCTTCTCTTTGGTACTATAGAGGTTGCATTTCTAGCAGTCTTCGGGGCTTCCAGAGAGGGGACAGATGGATCCTATTTCCTTTACAGCTTCTTACTCTAGGACCTTATAAATTAATTTAAAAAATATCACTCCAGCTTGGAACTTCGCATGGAAATACGGAGGCTGTGAGCCTTTTTTCTTTTTAAAAAATTATTTATTTATTTTGGTGAGCATGAGTTTTTGAAGATATTTTTGTCTGTTCTCAAACACTAAAATGGTACTTTGGATATTTTGAAATGTTTCTTGATTTTAAAAAAATATTTATTTATTTTGGCTGTGCTGGGTCTTCGCTGCGGCATGCCGACTCTTGGTTGCGGCATGCGGACTTCTTAGTTGCGGCATGCATGTGGGATCTAGTTCCCCACCAGGGATCAAACCCGGGACCCCTGGATTGGGAGCGCAGAGTCTTACCCACTGGACTGCCAGGGAAGTCTTGATTTTTTTTGAGTGGTTATTTTGACTTCAAAACTTTTTGTCTGCCTGCTATGCTTATTTTAATTTCTCCATTCAGATTCATTATAGATTCTTCTCACTAGCACTTTTGTGGTTTTTAGTAACAATTTGAATCTCTTCTCATCTACTATGGTAGATGTAACATGTGGATGGTTGAAGTAGATTGTAAAATAATGAAACTAGTTTCCAATGAGGCACTGTCAAAGTAGGAATCCTGCAACGTTTTGCATGGTGGTGGGCTCTTTAGAACACAAATACACCAATGCCATTCAGCAGTGGTGCCTGTGAAGTCACTGATGTCTACTTTATAGTTTGTTTTGTTACGATTGTTTTAAAAAACAGTGCAGTAATTTTATAGTATTGTTTCATTAATTCATAGCATTCTGAAGTTAATTTTAGTGAGTAGAGGATACCATAATGATTCAGAAATTCTGTATTGCCAATTTATGCAAGAATTTGCATGTGTAATAATATCTGTATATACTCTGTAATAAATAAATGGTTGGGACTTGTGTTTTGTGTCACTTCAGATTCATTTGGTTGGAAATGACAGAAATCAAACTGGTTTCAGTACTGATGACATCACAGCCATGGGCTCCTGGAGCTGAGGAGCAGAGCAGGAGGTTGGACCTCAGGTCAGCCTTGGCCACAGCAGTTCTGTATCTGACAGCTTTGTCCTCAGCTGGCTTCTCTTCTGGTGATAAAGAGGCAGCTGGGCTGAGGAGATAAACTCTTCTGTTTAATCAGGGTTGACTTGGATCATGACTTGAGTTCCTTTCAGTTCACCACTGGTTTCAAGCATCTTGAGGCAAGAGTAGAAGAGCTTAGCTCAGTCCCCACATGACTATGGAGATGTCACTCTGCCTTCCATCCTTGTCCTGACTTCCTGAAAGTCAGCTAAAAAGTCTGGTAGGATAGATTCAGGACACTTCTAATCCAGATAGAGTCCATCATTCCAGCCCATGTGGTTGATAAGACTTTGGCTGGTTCCTTCACAGGGACCTCATCAGATGCTAATTAACTCGTCATCCCACCTGTGCCCGGGATAAACATGGCTACTGGTTTTTGCTCATTAGGAAGGGCTCAATCCCTCTGAAATTTAGTTCCTCTAAACTTCTTTGAGACCTTAGGTCTCCAGTGGGTAAAGCAAAATATGATTTCGTTGTTTATCCAGTGTTTTTTGTTGTTTCAGTGGTGGTGATAGTCTTCCATGTTTTTCTGCATCTTAAGTGGAAGAAGAACCCAAAGGAAATGGAATTAAATTTGTACTTTGAGTTTTTTCATGTTAATATTTTAAGTACGTATTCACATATAAATATTAAATTCAAAAAGAGACACCAATATTTTAAGAATTATTATTCCTGGAGAAAGAGAAAGAAGTATGATGGTAGAGACCCAACTCTGTCTACCTTGCGTGTGACCCCAGAAGTGTCCCTTGGCATCTCTGTGCCTCTGTATTAGTTTGCTGGGGCTGCTGGAACAAACTACCACAGACCTGGCAGCTTGAACAACAGGCATTTACTTCCTCACAGTTTTGGAGTCTAGAAGTCTGAGATCACTGTGTGGGTTGGTTTCTTCTGAGACCTCTCTC